AAAACCTCAGACTATCTGTGGGCTTACGGTATATACTGAAAAATACAAAGCATGCGTATAAAGCCACAAACAATGCTAACAGGGCAACCAACGCTCAAGAAATCTAATCTCCGAAGAGTACAATTGCAATGATGCCCGTGTCATTGTCCTTATCTTCTCTTGTGTGCATGTTTTTTTAGCGGCAAACTATGCATTTTATGATTTTATTGCAACCATGACAAGGCCTTCACACCATCACTTTGAGTGACAAAATATAATTGAAGATGTATCAAATAATGTATCTCACAGTGCTGCTTTTTGGTGTACTAATTAACAGTTATTGGACACATGTATGTTCTGATACAACATCACTACTAGCACCAGGCCAAGGCAGTGTACTTTGCATTAACTATTAGAGGATTTGAGAACAAGCTGCGTTTGGTAGACTGCTGTTGCGTTCGGAGGAGCAGCACAGTTTGAGAACTCAGTCAAACGCAGACAGCGTTGGATCATACGCACGGAGCGTCACAAACGGCGAAATCAAAATCATGTGACGCACAGGCTATACTGCGTCGTGGACAACGCTACGTCTGCATCGTTTTGCTAGCGGACCAAGATGCTTTGGGGGTCCACACTATCGATTTTTGGTTCTTGGGACAACGCGAGTGCCAAAGCTCATGAGCCCCTTGAGTTCTGCACATGCGCCCTGGCTGCTCGCAAATTTCTTGGGTCCCCAAGCTCCTTGGCGCCCCAATTCTCAAACCCTTTAAAGTTGACACTACCAATTTATGCATCATAATGAAATGACTGCCTGATCAAAAGCATGTATTGTTTTTACTATGGTTAATGTGTAACTGACAGTGCCGCAAGAAAGACAAGGAAGAAAAGAGAGAGTGCACTTCTGGTTATCACTACTGCACAAAGCCACAATGAAGCGGCTGTGAGCAGTAGAGCAAGCACACATGACCAGCAATAGAGAGAAAGGAAGAAAAATGACAAGTGGACAGCACTGTCTGGCAGTTTCGCAAGGCACTGCTTTCACACTTTTTTTTTCTCAGCCTACCACTCCGAGTAAAGTCAGGGTGCAAGTAATATTGCCCTCATTGCCAAGGCAACCAATGTGTAGAGGAGAAAAAAGTAAGACAGAATTCTGCTTTCACTTTTATGGTGCTGGTACAGCCGCGTACAAAGTATAGAAATGCTTGAGTATTGACTTTTCCGAGGTGCTTTTATTGTTGGGATTTTGAGACATGCAGAATCTGGCACAACTTTTCGAGAAAAGGGGCGAAAAATACTTGAGGTGATCACAACAGCAGACAAGCACTTCTAACTGGTATTTTGGAATGTCAGCATTCAAGCTAAGGGGAGACATGGTGTGTAGAGATATTTTCTGTATTTGTCGACCAAACATGATGAAAATATACATGCTTATGTAGTTTCTTGTGCTGATTTCAAATATGCAAGAATTTTCATTGTAGGTCAATTAATTTAGAAGATACACAATGCTGCCACTCTATTGTTTTTGGAGACAATAGAAAAGGACGTGCTTATCAAAAAGTAAACATTATTGGATAGCTAGACAGTGCAATTAGCAATAAGTGCAATGCTGCAAGCAGATTTAAAATTAAAGAAAAACTAGTGATTCTGCAGATGATGAAAGTTGAGGAGTCATGTCACGGCTATTACATACAAAGAAATTTAATACCTTCCAAATTTATATGGGCAGCAAATAGAAATTCTGCTTTCAGCACTTTGTAATACACAGATTGGGCTTTAGGTTAATGAGAAAATTATTGCTCTAGCTGTTCTAGATTGCAAGATATCAACCCGACAAACTAGTAAAATCACCAAAAAGCATGTTTTTAGAAAACTGAAAAAAAGAAATAAAACTCATTCAGTTTGAAAATGCTCAGTATGCACCAGGCATGTTGTCCTTTTTACTAAGAGTCCCTGTGCGGCATTTTTTCAGAGACTGGTGAATGTTCTCCGTTGCTTGTCGCTTCTTGACTGATGCTGCCGTGCGCCGTCGATCCTTTTCAGCCATGCGGGCGCGGCTTTGCCAGCCGGAGTTTAGGCTCACTTCTTTTATAATGTCTTCTGATGCATTTTTATTGCCTGCATTGAACTTGAGCACTGTTTCTGCCACAGCTGCCTCCACCGTGAATAGCGAAGCATGTCGCTCCTTTGGTGCCAGCGCCAAGATCATTGAATGCAGGCATTTGTATTTATTTCGGGTTTTCCCTCGCTGGCATCGTTGCAACAGCTTTCTGTCTGACAAGCGCTCATAAATGGGAAGTTTGGCAGACATGTGGAGGCAGCTTTCGACGATGTTTGGGAATCGGCTCCCCCTTGGCATTTGCCGCATTTTGTTTGCACCAAGAATTCGGACCAGGTGGGCACAGAGTCTGGTTTGCCACATCATCATTGGACGTGATGTGACGATAAGCGGCCATCACTGCTGTGTGTGTAGCATCAACATCACCACGGTGTGTCTTCAGAGCCCACCCATAATAATTGGTGAGCTTGGAGATCAGGTCTCCTTTCATGCGGCCCTTTCCCCCAAGACTCTCAAGGCTAGTGCCTTTATGTTTTGCAGTCAAGTTGCGCAAAGCAGTGCCCATACGCTTTTGGACATGATTAATGCAGTCCTCTTTTTCCACTGGGATATACCCATAAACCTTATCATCTTGTAGCGCAAGGTAACTGCGGCTGTCCCCGTCGCAAAACACCGTGATGTAGCGCAGGTTGTGACCTCCTGAAGAGGATTAGGGCAGCCTCAACCTCCATTTCCGCAGCCTTCTTGTCACTGCATGTTTTTTGACACTGGTGATGTTCTTTCTACGCTGCATAAGTAGGGTCACCTTCCTTTGGGCCTGACTCGCATCGAGCACAAAAGTTGCTGAAAACAACGAAGTCAAACACCATCCCGCTGAACAATTATATGACGGTGCCGAGACCGATATGCGACGAATGACCACGAGTCATCCATGACCCATCAAACGACACTACGATGTTTCCCATGTTGGCTATATTAAGTTCGGCGTAAAGTTCGCGAACTGACCGCGCGCAGTCACTCGTCAAATTGCGTGCAGCACGATCGGCCGCGGGTGCCAACTTCGTCTTCACGTAGTGTTGCCACGTTTTCGTGTGAAGACCCCGACGGCTGATGCCCATCAAGGAGAACACATGATTCAGCGTGGTCTGTCTGTTCCCCGTTGCCTGCATGGCATGCACGGCCAAAACATTCACAGCAAACGGTTTCATACGTTCATCGCTACTTACGCGCGGCGAGCTCCACAACGACTCAGTCTCCCTACAGGTAGAACACACAAAACGCAACTTCACGGCGAGTCCGCATTCCCGGTCGTCGCGGACAATCTGCAGTTCTCTTTTGCATGCCTTGCACTTTGGAAATGCCAACAAAGCACTGTTCACTGTGTCCAAATCTATAATTGTGAACGTGGTTCCATCAGGCGGCCGAGCTGCTTCGTCGGCACTGTAAACCACGAATGCGCGTTTCCGCTCCGTCGCTGCAGCGGACGACAACTCCGATAACTTATCTTCGGTTTTAGCTCGCTCCTCTTTCAAGTCAGATTTCTGCCGATAGATAGTATCTTGATGCACGCGACCGCTGCTCGAAGGCTTCGCGGCTGACGAACTTTGCACAGGCTCCGTGACAACTGATGCGGTAGCTAGGCCTTCCGTGGTAGCGTCGACGACTTCCCCATGGGACGCGGAGAGTGTAGCGTCTCGGGGGTTCTGCTGTATCACGGAGCGCTTCTTGAAATTCGCGACTAGCGTCCTTCGCACCTTTTTCGCACCAAACTTGTGCCGCGTGCGGAATTTGTGCTCAGGATTTGACATCGTGAAACTTCTCTGCTGACGCTGAGGCAAAATGGTGCGCATGGACGCGCGCCTCAATACCCGGAGCCGACGAAGCCAGGAACCTCTACAAATAGGGAGGCAAGCTCAAGCCATGTGCGCGAAGTAGCGAATAGGTAGGCGCTCTGATACTTCTTTTTGTCGCTCATTTTACAAGCTGTCAATAGTTCAGTTGGACCCATTCTGGGCGGGAATTTAAAGGCAAAAGACGGCTCTCTCAAATGAGACCAAGCGGGCCGCGCTGGCACACATGAAAAAGCAGGGGCGCGTCACAGAAAATGTGCGATTCAACGCCGATTTCTGCTCAGATTTCGTTAGAAAGCGCCGTATAAAGGGTCTTAGCGGCTAAAATAATGATATTTTAGGCATGAAATTCACGGTACAAGTGCACTAGTAGCTGTAGATTTCAAAAACGCAATAAAAAAAGGAGTTTTTCTGCGATTTTTCGGTCTCCCCAACCCGTGTCCCCCCTTAAATGGGGTTTGCAATATTAGATGTTGAGAAGTCACATGGGCTCTGAAGACATTTCCTGTATTTTATGTCCTAACTTGATTAAACTAAACAAATTTCAGTTTTTCAGGCTGACTTCGAACGCGCAATAATGTTTCTTGAAGGCCATATCAATAAAGCTGCCTCTAGGATGTTTCCAAAGACAAGCAGGAAATGAAGCTGACCGATGTTCCCAGCTAGTTTGCATCGTCATTGCTCTCAGAGTCAAGGTCCGACGATAAGGCAGCACCCTCAGACTCGCTGCTGCTCGTTAAATTGACAAAAATAGCTGCGAACACGTAGTATGCCAATATCTGCAGAATTCCAAAGCATGCGTGTACATGCCGCATCTGGCGGAAGTCATTTTCATTTCCCACTTAACGATTGCACAACTTCAGAACACTTTAAAAAATCGTTGCAACATGGAGAAAAAGCTAACCACATCAAGAAGAAAGCTATAGTTATTCTCTTTCACAACAGATTATACAGTGTGTCCATGAACAGTGTTGGGCAATTCGAACCATCGATAGCTGGCTGTTGATTCCCTTGGGCACGATACAAAAAGTATTAAGGCCCGTTCAGGCACCAACAGCTCGCCAACGGCGCAACACAAATGATACTCAATGCCTACACCAGCCTGCGTCTCTTACCTCATAGCATTCGCAGTAGTTTTTGAGGCAACCAGATCGTTTGCAGTTATAGCCTTTGGTATGACGCAACTCAAGGTCTCCTTCTTTGCCTTTGCCTGCAGATGGTAAGTTAGAAAATAATTTCACACGCATGCTGCAGAGCAATATTCTGATCCTATGACAAGTAATGAAGCGTCAACCTCAGGTCACTAAGGTACTCTACTACTATTATCCCTAACTTTTCCCAATATAGGGTCCTGAAAATCTCCTGTAAACATGTGGTGTATAGCATGGGAGAGATCGTGCCTCCGGGCCTTACACTCTTCTTTATGGGGATTCTGCCACTTTTTTTATGGAGAACTATGATAGATGTGGATCTCCTGTAGATTTCTTGCAGTATGTTTACGTAGAGCTTGTTGATATCCTGATTACGTAGTATGCCAGTATGTTTATGATATCATATTTATTGAAATCTAGGCCGATAGTTTTTTGCTTTGTTTTTTCGAATTTCTTTGCATTAAACTCCAGGGTCAGCTTAGATTCTTGGATTAAAAAAAAAAACGAACCATTTTTCATTGAAAAAAGAGGTGCACAACTGGTGCCATTTAGACGGTATTATAGCCCTTCGTAGCCAAGTCAACAACTGGCTTAAGTACACACTTGAGGCCGCCATTTTGATCTTCATGGCGATTGTGGAGGCGAGCAATGAGCCGTTTGTCATATCGAGTCACAGTTCGAGTGGTCTGTGTGTGACGTATAGCTCAATGGCGCCAAACAGGCAATGTCATTATAGTGCCGCTTATAAAAGGAAAGTTGTCCTAGCTGCGGAGTCATCGTCCAACGTTCAAGTCGGGTGGTACTTTGGAGTGCACAAAAAGTGTGCGTCGCTGAAGGGGCCGCGGCGTGGGACGACAACTTTGAGCGTGCACTCTTTTAAGAAAAACGGCATATCCAGTGCACTTGATGGCACTGAGGATTGTGCACTGTTTGAAGACAGCAACAAAGAAGCGAACGATGAGGGAAGCAGCGACATCTTTATGATGCAGCATCTTTATGATGCAAATAACTAGAAACAGTGCGAAAAAAAAAACGACGGCCAAGAACCCCACGCAACAGGACTAGCAGCTGTATCTTTCTCGAGTTATTATAATTGCATCATGAAGCAACTGCTTTGTTTCATCTTCATGTTCAATAAATGTTTTCTCTTTGTGAATGCTGTCTTTGCTTGGCCTACACTCAAGGTAAGTTTTTCTTTTTTTTCTTTTTTCGGGCTTCGAAGTTTTGGGTGTCGGCTTAGAATTGAGGTCAGCCTAGATTCAGGTAAATACAGTATGTATGCCATAAACTGACAAGTACTACAACTTTAATATGAAACACTGACCACAAATAAATAATTAAAATGTTAATCAGCAAGTCTTCATTATATAGTTGCATCAGTGTAATGTTAACTGCAGCAAAGTATCTCAGCCCCAATGTGGAGTTTGTGTGCAAAAACAACAGACCTTACTGTCATAGGACTTGTATTAAAGATTTGTACTGCTTAAAAAGAAACACTCTGCATAATAATTATAAGAAAACACTTTAGCTGCACAGGTCTGTACCAGAAGAGACACTTGACAAAACAACAAAATTTTTCAAGAGGGAAGGGGCAGGGGAATGCTACTCAGCGAGAGCTGGTACGAACCAATTTTGGGACGAATTGCATTGGGATTCCTATCTAAACACGCTGCGATAGCCCTTTGTCGTTCCTCTTCATGCTCCAGGTTATTGAAACAGTTAGTGCAGTTGCAGCTGTGGCTGAATTCTCCATTGGGAAAGCAGTCACAATACCTGCAAACAAGAGGGAAGATTCAGTACATGAAAGGACTGAGACATAGACATTCATATAACACAGCAAAAGCTCGTTAATTAGGATTTCACGGGACCGCAGAAAATATCTGAATCAATCAAAAGCTAGGTTATCGAAAGCACAAAGAAAGAAGTATTCAAGAAAGAGAATTTGCCATGCCGCCGCAGCGCATGAGGGCAGCCCAATAGCATTACTAGAGGCAATGTGATTTTCCCTGCTGTATGAGAAATGATACTCCCGGCGTATTGCCATCATTTACATGTTTTTCTATGAATGCAAGGCAAAACAACTGCGATACCACCTTGTATATTGTAAATTTCTCCAAATTTCCATCTGTAGTGTCATTAACTAAAGGAGACATATTTTAAATGCTGTTATTAATAGACACTATCCTAATTGCAGGCTGTAGAGAACTTGCAATCACCTACTAGTAGGGGCCCTCAAGCAGTGTCTGCCGCACCCATACGTTCCTCACTTGGATCTTATGTGCACGTGCCTGAAGAAGGTAGCCTTTGGAGAGCAAGCTATTGTATTCTGCAAACTTTCTTTCTCTCTTTAGCGCTCTTGTGCGCTTCCGAATTACGCCGACGGCGGTGGCTGATTGCCCTCTGCATGCACTTTTCCTGCTTCAACAAAGGTGAGCGCATCTGTATGACAGGGTGCAAATTTGTTGAGAGGAACTACAACAGTGGCTACGCATCCAGCAATCTTCCAAGTGACCCAGAGAGGTCCGAAATGCATATGCTCACGAAATACCGAGAAAAAGCTGAGAGCGCATGGCAGCCGACTATGTTTGCGAAAAGCACTTGTCAGAAAGCGACATAGAAAGATGGCGGTACTATGGAAAGCTTGAAAACTGACCCATGGTATGCAAGAATCAGCTAAATGCACTCAATGCACTTTGATATTCTACTGCACCCATGAATTTTTAAACACCTAACGTGATACTATCACAGGAACTATTGGTATCCAGCAATATTTATCCATCAAAGGCAGGAAAGGGAAGCAGAATTAAGAACAACCTAAATACGAAATTATGGCATGTATAAGCCTCATTATTTGTTGGAAAAATTAATACTCAAGTACTGAAGCTATCAAGTTCACGTTAAAAAAAACTATTGTTTCTGCACTTTAGAAAAATGTCATACAAGTAACTTCACTGTACGTGATACCTTTTTTTTTTCATTAATATACTGAATTTCGAGCCAGTAAGGAGGCCCTAAATACACACCTATTTTCGCACAATGTTGACTGATTGATTGATATTTGTGGCTTAATGTCCCAAAACCACCATATGATTATGAGAGACGCCGTAGTGGAGGGCTCCGGAAATTTTGACCAACTGAAGTTCTTTAACGTGCACCCAAATCTGAGCACACGGGCCTACAACATTTCCGCCTCCATCGGAAATGCCGCCGCCGCAGCCGGGATACGAACCCGTGACCTGAGGGTCAGCAGCCGAGAATGTTAGCCACTAGACCACCGCGGCGGGGCTGCGCACACTGTGCACGCAATGAATCGGTACTGAATAGCCTTGAACAGACGAGATTCATTGGATAATGCAACGTGCGCGATTTTCCTTCTCTGTTAGCCAACTCAGGACAGAGGACACGTACGTGCTGTGCCTGACTTTATCGGGATTCACGAGCGAGCACTGTTTCGCTTTTTCAAAAACTCTTGAACCATGATCGAAAGTATCAATAAATAAAGTAAGCGATACATCAAGCATTATCATTGCCTTGATGAATACATAAACCAAGTACTTATTTTGCAGAGCAGTGTAAAACCCGCCATTTTCTTCATTCCCTACTTCATTCGCAATAAGACAATGGCTCAAAACCCCTTGTCTCGATCCAAAATGTGCTTTGAACCCATCTTTTATTACGTACCGCCACCGCTAACACCCACCCTCATATGCAAGTGATGATAGTTTTTTCACCACTAAAATGTTCACAACTGACCTTTTGTCGATCACAATGTAGCAAGCTAGCTTTACAACAGCATACGAATAGCACCTGAAACTCTTCATCCTAAACAGCTCCCAGCATGTTTGAGTTTTGTGACATTGCGAGCAAGCACACTGCCCGAAGCCAAAACGGAGCGACTGGGTGCCGCATCTGCTGTGAATGAAACTGCATTTGCTAAAGACACGATCATAGCGTGCATGCACTTCTGAATGCACACACGTGGTCTACGTACATGGTCGAAACAAAACAGCTGAGCACCGCATCTGGTGCTGAATAAACTTGGCTAGTTAATGCATGATCATGGATGGCAACTACACAGTTCTGAAGGAATGCGACGAAAACAAAACTGTTTCTCCCAGTTTGAAGAGAGAGGGATGTATGTACCATGGGGAAGCAGCTGTCTCCTGTGTAACAAACCTGAGACCATTGAACATGTGGTTATTGACTGTAAGAATGCTATTTTCTTTTGGGACATTTTACAGAGGACTTAAAAAAAAAGATTTACCTTTTACTTCATACGGAATTCGTCTTTTGCCTTGTGATAGTTCTGTGCAAAATTCGGATGTGATATTTTTACTTGGTCTTCATTCAGTTTGGCGTAGTATGCTATCGTACAGACACTGTGATGTAAGAGTTCTATCCGTAAATGAGTGTTTCGTGGAAGCTGTTATAAAAGTGCGAGATGTGTATAGGACAACCGACTGTTTTGAAGATGTAATATCTTTGTTTGATGCGTTATCACACATGAAACACGTGTTATGGTGTTGGTCACATTAGCTTGACCTGTAGTCAAGAAGGCAATAAAGAAAAAAATCAGTACGATCAGAATACTGTCTGATCGTACCGGCTTAAAGCCGGTACGCATCGATGATCTCACCAGAAAAGGATTGGCCACCCTGGTGCAGTATCTGGCCACCACCTCCCGTAGGCATTCGTCAATTAACTCACGGCCCTCAGTCCCCACCAGCTGCGGAGCAACTGACCATGGCGGCGGTCAGATCTGCAAAGCAGCAGAGGGTGCTAGGAATCTCTGGATACGGACAGGCCACCATTGGAACTTGAACTTAGCAACGTTTAACGTTAGAACGTTATCTAGTGAAGGAAGTCTAGCTGTATTATTCGAGGAGCTAGAAGGCATTAAATGGGATATAAAAGGGCTGAGTGAGGTTAGGAGGACAGATGAGGCCTATACTGTGCTACAGAATGGGCACGTCATTTGCTATCGGGGCTTGGCAGACAGAAAAGAACTGGGAGTAGGGTTCCTAACTCACAGAAACATAGCTGCCAACATAGATGATTACTATAGCATTAATGAAAGGGTGGTAGGCATTGTAATTAAACTGAATAAAAGATACAAAATGAAGGTGGTACAGGCTTACGCGCCTACATCCAGCCATGATGACGCTTCAGTTGAAAGCTTCTATGAAGACGTGGAATCGGCAATGAGTAAGGTGAAAACACAGTATACTATAGTAAAGGGCGACTTTAATGCAAAGGTAGGGAAGAAACAGGCTGGAGACCAGGCAGTAGGAGATTATGGCATCGGCACTAGAAACACCAGAGGAGAGCTACTAGTAGAATTCGCAGAACGCAATAATCTGCGTATTTTGAACACCTTCTACCGAAAACGAGAAAACCGCAAGTGGACATGGAGGAGCCCTAATGGCGTAAATAAGAACGAAATAGACTTTATAATGACTGCACACCCAGGAGTCGTGCAGGATGTGGAAGTGGTTGGCAAGGTAAGATGCAGTGACCATAGAATGGTACGGGCTCGAATCCGCCTAGACTTGAAGAAGGAACGACAGAAACTGATACGCAAGAAGCCAATCAATGAGCTAGCACTGAGAGGGAAAGTACAGGAATTCAGAGTGTCACTGCAGAACAGGTACTCTGCTCTTAGCGAGGAAACCAACCTTAGCGTAGATACAAGGAATGATAATCTGACGAGTATCATCACGGAGTGTGCAGTGGAAGTTGGAGGCAGGGTAGCTAGACAGGGCACCGGCAAGCTTTCCCAGGAAACGAAGAACCTAATTAAGAGGCGTCAAATCATGAAAGTGTCAAGTACAACAGACAAAATAGAACTGGCAGAGCTTTCGAAGTTGATTATTAGACGTAAAGTATGCGATGTAAGAAGGTATAACATGGAGAGAATTGAGCACGCTCTGAAAAACGGAGGAAGCGTCAAAGCAGTGAAGAGGAAACTTGGGATAGGCAAAAGGCGGATGTAGGCACTAAGGGACAAAGAAGGCAAAATAACTACCAATATGGATAGGATAGTTAAAATAGCGGAGGAGTTTTAAAGAGATCTGTACAGTAGCCGAGACAACCACGACCTTAATACTATAAGAAGTAGCAGTAACCCAGACGACACCCCACCGGTAATGATAGAAGAAGTCAGAAAAGCTTTGGAGAGCATGCACAGAGGCAAAGCTGCTGGTGAGGATCGGGTAACATCAGATCTGCTGAAAGATGGAGGACAGATTGTGTTAGAAAAACTAGCCACTCTATTTACGAGGTGTCTCCTGACGGGAAAAGTACCAGAGTCTTGGAAGAACGCTAACATCATCTTAATACATAAGAAAGGAGATGACAAGGACTTGAAGAATTACAGGCCGATCAGCTTGCTCTCTGTAGTATACAAGCTATTTACAAAGGTAATTGCTAGCAGAGTAAAGAAAACATTAGAATTCAATCAACCAAAGGAACAAGCAGGATTTAGAACAGGCTACTCAACAATTGACCACATTCATACTATCAATCAGGTAATAGAGAAATGCTCAGAGTATAACCAACCACTATACATAGCCTTCATAGACTACGAGAAGGCGTTTGATTCAGTAGAAATATCAGCCGTCATGCAGACACTGCGGAATCAGGGCGTAGATGAAATATATATAAACATTCTGGAAGAAATCTACAGGGGATCAACTGCTACCATAGTGCTTCATAAAGAAAGCAACAGAATACCAATAAAGAAGGGTGTAAGGCAGGGGGACACAATCTCCCCAATGCTATTCACTGCGTGCTTACAGGACGTTTTCAGAAGCCTAGATTGGGAACAGTTAGGGATAAGAGTTAATGGAGAGTACCTCAGTAACCTGCGCTTCGCCGATGACATTGCATTGCTGAGTAACTCAGGGGACGAATTGCAACTCATGATTACGGAGTTAGACAAGGAGAGCAGAAAGGTGGGTCTTAAAATTAATCTGCAGAAAACGAAAGTAGTGTACAACAACCTCGGAAAGGAGCAGCGCTTTGCGATAGGTAATAGTGCACTTGAAGTTGTAAAAGACTATGTCTACTTAGGGCAGGTAATAACCGCAGAGCCTAACCACGAGATTGAAGTAACTAGAAGAATAAGAATGGGGTGGAGCACATTCGGCAGGCACTCTCAAATTATGACAAGTAGATTGCCACTGTCCCTCAAGATGAAGGTATATAACAGCTGTATCTTGCCGGTACTTAGCTACGGAGCAGAAACCTGGAGACTCACAAAGAGGGTTCAACTTAAATTGAGGACGACGCAGCGAGCAATGGAAAGAAAAATGGTAGGTGTAACCTTAAGAGACAAGAAGAGAGCAGAGTGGATTAGGGGACAAACGGGAGTTAAGGATATCATAGCTGCAATAAAGAAGAGGAAATGAACATGGGCCGGGCATGTAGCACGTAGACAGGATAACCGCTGGTCATTAAGGGTCACCAACTGGATTCCCAGAGAAGGGAAGCGGGGTAGGGGGAGACAGAAGGTTAGGTGGGCAGATGAGATTAAGAAGTTTGCGGGTATAAATTGGCAACAGCAAGCACAGGACCGGGTTAACTAGCAGAACATGGGAGAGGCCTTTGTCCTGCAGTGGACGTAGACAGGCTGATGATGATGATGATGATGATGATGAAAGCAAAAAAGTTTTGACCCCAGTCACTATCACTGCGATCATGGATAGAGCCCATGCAGCTCGCAAGCACTCAGTAAAATTGAAACAAGTTGACCATGAAGCTTTGTTTTGTGGCAAGATCGTGAATGGCGACCACACCGTTCTGAAGGCCCGCAGCGATTTCACTTATTCGCAAATGCGGTGTTCGCTCCTTTGCATCGCGCATTTTGGGCGAAGCCCGCTCCAAGGATTGCCTGAATTAACCAAGCTAATATGACTGAATTAATGGGACACTAAAGAGCGAAACGATTTTGGGCGTGTTAGCAAAGCGAAATTTCACAATCCCGAAAACGCCACTCTTACCGCGACATGACACTTGATAAGCAAGAAAACATGCTACGGAAAATTCCTGCAAAGAACACCATGACGTCATAGATTTAAAAGGAATCTACTACGTAGCTTCGAATCGATAAAAATTATCGTATTTCCTTCCATATTACGACCACTTTTCGCCACTTTTTTTCACGATTTTGGAGCTCTGAAAAAGGGGTACGCAAATTATGCAGTAATTTCGCGAACGCATACGAAATAGTGTGTGATAGTCCTAAAAAGTGCAGCATATACATAAATGAAAGTAAAATATGTTGGAGCACAAACGAAGTGTACTTGTTTATTTAACACAGTGGTTCTCAGCCATGGATGTGTCAGCGACCCTTTGAGGACTGGTGGAAGTGAGTGGGGACCCCTTGCAGCGAAGAGGGCGAAGGGGGGGGGGGGAAGAGGGTACGTAGGTAAATTAACACAAACAGGTGCCTTTTATTAGGCTTGGGCGAATAATGAATTTTAGGTTCGAAGGGAATTAGAAGCGAATAGTGATTTTGATTGAATAATTCCGAATCGAATTTCAATAGTATATAAGACATACAAAAAAATGGGCATACTTATCATGACCTAGCTAACCAACGCAATTTATATTTAAATTGAATTAAGGCCTCTCTGCAAATGTCTTTTTTTTCGATCACAGGAAGTCGAAACAACTTTGAGTAGTAGCGGGATATCAGTTTCGGTAGGACGCGAATGATAACCTGTAAAATAGGTAACATTTTAAATTTTATTATACTAAGAGCACATAAGCTGTAATAACAAGCTTTTAATCTTAATAAAATGATGAATTGATTTGAGGGTAACATGTTCATTTAAAGGGGTCTGCAACACTTTTTCAAGTAGCCATGGAGCCAGTAAAAAAGCTTGTTGCCTTGCAAATTTACCGCCGCAAAAATTTTTTGAATCAGTCCAGTATGAGCAGCGGAGTTCCGAAAATTATTCACACGGTGTAATTTAATTATCTCTTTTCGTCCCGACGAAATCACTGGAAGCTAAGCAGGGAGGAATGGCATGGTGAAAGAAAATACATCACACGCACTTGGTGACAGTGAGCATCTTTTTCTTTTTTTTCCCTTAGAATACGTGGCTTTTTAGTGTTATCGCGCGCGCATGGATACTCCACGGCCTCCCGCTGCGGCTTCAGTGACGACCAAGCGCTCCATGTTCAAATC